ATGTTTTTCCTTGTTTCCTCTCTTTCTGTTATCGCAGCAGCAGCAGCTGGACCGAGTGAGAAGAATTCAGAAGCAAGCAAGAAAAAGAAACGTAGCACCCGCACTTGATGGACAGTGGAAGCTCTGGGCTTGACGACGCGGAGCTCGAGTACAAGGTCGTTATACTCGGAAACGGATCCGTGGGTAAGACGTCTCTCATCAAGCGGTACTGCGATGACGGCTTTGGACAGAGCTACAAGCAGACCATTGGACTTGATTTCTACTCCAAAAAGGTGGAGCTGCCTGGATCACGGCACGTGTTGCTGCAGATTTGGGATATTGGCGGGCAGCAGCTCGGTGGGAGTATGATTAACAACTATATCCATGACACCAATGCTGTGTGCTTCGTGTACGACGTGACAAACGCCGACTCCTTCAAAGACATGGAGGACTGGTATCAGTGTGTAGTCGCCGCCGTGGGTGGCGAGGCGCCGCCGCTGATGATATTAGTGGGAAACAAGACGGATCTGCCCAACCGGCAGGTAACTGCCGCGATGCACGCGCTGGCGGCGGATATGCATCAAATGGACTCCTTCCTCATATCCGCGCGGTCGGGGGAGAGGGTCAACGCGCTCTTCACGAAGATCGCCGCTAGATTGTCTGGTGTAAATGTCACGCGGGAGGAACTGGAGATGGTAGATCGCGTGGTTGCCACTGTGGAGTCACGACCAGAGGATCGGGTTGCGGTGTTTCACGCCACCCAAGTAGGAACAAGGAAGACGAAAGTCGGCAAGGATGAATGTGTGTTGATGTAGTGACGACAAAGGGGTCGGCCTTTGGCTCTTGCATAGATGCATGTACTCACACTCACACACGTTTACATTACACAACTTGTTTCTCCTGTGGTTTCATTGAGTTCATTACTCTGTCTTTTTGTTTTGCTGTGATCGGTGTTGGGCTCATGCCTCCGAGTCAGAGTCGCATAGCCGTGTGGTGCCGCATCTGATCCCTCCTTCTGTTGCACATGGAAAGAAAGTTTCACATTACCACACAACAGACCCCACACAGCATACGTATGGCACCTGTATTTAGATGCACATCAGCGATGGAAATATCCACGGTCGTGTCAAAGTGTCGCGACGCATTTCGCGCAGGCGCCACCCGCTCGCTGGAGCAGCGGCGCGACTTACTACGTGCTGTGGTGCGCATGCTGGACGAGAATGAGAGTGCGTTGTGCAGCGCCGTGCAAGCGGACTTGCGGAAGCACCCCCACGAGACGACATCAACGGAGTTGTCGGTGTCTCGCGCTGAGGCATACCACTTCCTGCACCACCTTGGCACCTACATGGCCTCTGAGAAGCCTCAATTGGAGGGTCCTTTCTACTTTGAGGACTGTGAGATTCGTCGTGAGCCGCTCGGTGTTGTTCTCATCATCGGCGCGTGGAACTATCCATTGCAACTCACGCTGCTGCCGCTGCTCGGGGCCCTTGCTGCCGGCAACACGGCAGTGGTGAAGCCCAGCGAGATGGCCCCAGCCACCGCCACTATTCTGCAGGAACTCCTGTCCAAATACCTGCCGACAGGAGTCGTTGGTGTTGTTAACGGTGGCGTGCCGGAGACCACGCGGCTGCTGAAAGAGCGCTTTGACCACATTTTCTACACCGGTGGCGCGCACGTGGCGAAGATCGTCATGGCGGCTGCCGCGAATCACCTCACGCCCGTCACCCTCGAGCTCGGTGGAAAGTCTCCTGCGATTGTAGACGCATCTTGCGAGAAGGATCTCTCCGCAGTGGCCCGCCGCATCATGTGGGGCAAGGTAGTGAATGCTGGACAGACGTGCGTAGCGCCAGACTACGTACTCGTGCACAGCCAACTCGTATCAAAGCTCATTGTAGCACTCGAGGAGGCGCGCAAGGATATGCTCGGCAAGGACCCGTTACGTCAGCGGCAGGAATACCCGGCTATTGTGAGTGCAAAGCACTTTCAGCGCCTCGTATCGCTCATGAAGGGTGGGACCGTTGTCCTTGGCGGAGAGATGGATGAGGCGAGCCGAACGATTGCACCAGCAGTTCTGTGCAATGTCCAACTCGATCACCCGCTTATGACAGAAGAGATTTTTGGTCCACTGCTGCCGTTGGTGCCGTATGATACCCTGGAGGAAGTGATCAGCTTCATCAACGCCAGAAAGAAGCCACTTGCCCTCTATGTCTTCTCCAAAGACAAGGGCTTCATATCGGACGTGCTGGGGAGCACTTCCTCTGGTGGTGCTTTGGTGAACGACGTCATAATGCACGCGGCAGCGTGTGGGTTGCCATTCGGCGGAGTTGGGCCGAGCGGGATGGGGGCGTACCACGGGAAGTTCTCTATCGATACCTTCTCTCACCGCAAGGCGGTGATGCGGCGGCGGTTGGGGATGGAGTCGCTCGACGCACCACGCTACCCGCCGTACACGGACGCGAAGTTGCGTGTGATGCGCTCCGTGTTGGAGCCGGCGGGGGAGTCCGCGCCAGTCTGGCGACGGTTGTGGCTCTTCCCAGCGCTGTGGCGCTGTGCGATGGTGAGCTACCACTATCTCCGCTACCTCGCGGCGCCGCAGTGCGAGGAGGTGCCACATAAGGATGCGAGCCCATCACAGCCACCGCGGCAATCAGTGCACCAGGATTGAGTGTTACACAAATAAAAGAAAGAAAAAAAAAAATATATATATATATATGCATTGGGAAAATGCACAGGTCACCACCCTCATTGGAGGCGGGACTTCTGCGTGGCGCAGTTCTTTGGTCACTGCGTCACCAGCAAGAAGAGCTCTCTCGTCATGAATAAAAAGGAGCGTGTGGCTTCAGAGTTTATATTTCAGCGGTGATCTGCGTGGCACACTAACAACAACAGCTGTTCGGATATCTGATAGGATACGGCTCATTTCTGGTGGCAGAATGCTCTCTTTGGTCTTGGGGAACTACACGGCAATTGAAGTGACATGTCTCGGTTGTGTTTTGTCGGCCGATCTGGGCCCTTCCCTCATTTTTTTTGTTTCATTATTTATTTGATACTTGAAGGTTTTTATCGTATCGTTATGACATTTGCTTCGCGGAGTTCCTGCCGGAAGCGGCAGAACCGAATAGGCTCTGGTGGCTCTTTGCGCTTTTTACCTTGTGTCTATTCCACGCCTTCAAAAGCCAGTCCTCCCCCTTACTTTATTGCCCGCTTGCTGTCGCTGCCTCTTTCTCTCTATTCTACCTGTGGAAGAAGACTTAGGAATTCATGAAGGGACTCGAGGAGTGGCTCGCGTCATCGTCATCGTCGGACGAGGCAAACGACGCGAGTGTCATGAACGCACCGCCGCCGCCGGCGAGGCGCTACGCGAGTAACTCCGACCCCCGCGCGGCCGACCTCACACGTCAGGAGGTAACGCGCAGTCGCATGCGGAGTATCCTCGGCGACGGTGTCGTGACGGCCGTTGCCGCGCAGTCGAAGGCACAGGAAGATGCAGGCTCAACACCGAGGCCTCTCTCGCCCGTCTCGAGGAGAAAAAGTCTTCTGGAGCCACCGATACCTTTGGGCGGTGGCAGTAGCAGAAGCAACACCAATAATAAGAGCTCAGCTTCTACAACCTCACCGGCTCCAGAAACAACGACAACAGAGTATCGTCGTGTGGAGGTGATGGTCGTCGACCGCGGCACGCAAACGACGTCGACGGTCGGCTGTCAGACCGACCCCGAGCCCACGCCGCCGTACGTTGCGTTCCCGTTTGCGCCCGGCCCGGTGTGCCGTTGTGGTGTGCGGCGTCCATGCGCCAATGTGTTGAATGAGGACGCATCGACTACACGGTTTAAGGAGCAGCTTGAGACGATACAGAATTCCATAGATATGATGATTGCACGGTACAACTTGCCGCCGCCCCCGCTGCCTCGAGTGCAGTGAAGCGCGTCATGCCTCTTGCAACCCACGTTTTTTTTGTTGGTGTTGCACTCCTCCCTACTGCCTCCACTCTACACGCACGGAGAGGTGCAGCAGGCTCTTCCGCAAGACCCCCCCCGCCCCTCTCCCTTCCCCTTTCCTCCCATATGATTCTTTTCCCCCTTTCTTTATATATTTTCGTTTTTGTTTTATTGGTGAAAACAGTAACCTGCATATGTGCCTGTGTGTTGAATAAGATGGAAGAGTTTTACAACAACCCGTTCAGCCACGATCAGGAAATGGAGGATCTGTGCTACTCCAGTGTGGTTTCCTTCTCTGCTGATCCATGCACAGCAACAACAGCAACAGCAGCGGCAGTAACAGCTGTACCAGAGAGTTGTAAAAACATCGATTCTTTTGGGGTCTCGTCGGTGCTACGTCTGCAGACGCAGCTGAGTGAGGCGCTGCGGACTAACGTCAGTCTTCGTACCACCTACGAGGCTCACATCGATACGCAGCGACAAGAAATTGATCGACTGAGTGGCGAGAATAACGAGCTGCTGAAGAAACTGACATGGTTGGAGACGCAGCTACGGTCCCTTTCGCTGGAGAAGGAATGCGTGATAATGGCGCAGAAGCGTGAGGTAGAGAAGAACGCGGCACTCAAGGAAAAGATCGGCTGCCTGGAGGCGGAGCTGGGGTCGCTGGAGCGGCGGACAAAGGAGTGGACTGCTGCATACAGCACAACTCCACGCAACGCCGACGGGCACTCTACTCCCATTTCCCAAATACGAACACAGTACCTCTGCCCAAAACAACAACATCGACAACAACAACAACAGCAGTCAGTACTGCAAGTTCAGATGACACCTTCACGTGCTGGTGATTCATACATGTGCACACCAGACAATTCGCGTTGCGGATCGGGCCAGAAGGAGCAGCCTCTACACCTTTTCGGCCCGTGTCCGCCCAGCGCCACCAGGGCGGCTGCAGGAACACAGCGGCAAGAGACACTACGAAATCCCGATGGCTCTGCGGCGAAGTCGCACACGAGGACGGAGGCCTGCCCCACCCAGCAAAAGGATGGGGCTGATGAAGCAGTCGTGAAGGAATTGGAAAAAAGGCTCCTTCACGAGTGCCAGAGAAAGGACGAAATAGAGAAGCAGTTGCAGAAAATGGAGCGAACGAGGATTCGTACCGGTTCTGAGCGGGCAAAGAAGATTTCACTAGAACGAGACCTTATCTCAGCTCAACGCGCAGTTGGGGATATAAGAATGCGGCTTCGGGCGTTGTCGGCGCTGGTTCGGTAGCGTGCAATACTCAGCACTGCTCTTCTTTTCTTAGCTTGTATATATATCGCTGGTGAACATCTTGGAAATGGCGTGGGTCTTTTGAAAATACAAAATGAGCTCATGTTCACACATGCTGTGTGCCGTCAGGTAACACTTGATTCAATGACGCAAATTCTACCAAGGGGTTGCTGCGCGGAAGTTTATTAATTGTTTTGAGGTCTGTTTGTCTTGCAATATTCAAGAAGAGTAAGGACTGATGATTCGTGCTTCGTTATGGTGTAGGATCCCTCATTAGAATTTTACTCTATTATTAGCACTCCTCTCTCTCTCTCTCTCTCTCTCTCTCTCTCNCTCTATATATATATATATATAGATGCATATTTGTGATTGTCTATTAGTTTTTTGGTGCTTTCAACCCTCTTTGCGTCTTGTGGACCCATCTCTTTTACTACTAGGCTAAAAAGATGTGGCGATGCCATACAATACCTGTTTCTATCTTCCTCACTGCGGCAACGAAGCATTGCTGCAGTGTGTGCAAAGAGGGAGGAATGGTCTCACAACGATATTGTAGTGGGCATCATGCACGGATGCGCGTGTGGTATAATTGCTATGAGGGCAACTAGATATGCACGTATACGTACTCTGTTCGGCAGCATTGACTCTTTGTGGATTACTAAACTTTCCCCCATTCATTAGGCGCTTGTATGCGGTTGCTCTCTCTACCAGTCTCTGTTGTGCTGCGGCAGCATGCATGGGGCACAGCACAGATGGCAGTTTTGTTCGGCGAGGGATGCGCCTGGATTTGATGTAGTGCAGGCACGGTGCCACACCCGCAGAAGAGTTGAGAGAGACCGACGACACGAAATGTGTCGTAATGAGCTCTCTTGTATGGTGTGTGGCGCCTCCTTTCCCCTTTGATAAGCGGCATGCTTGCTACTGGTCCTTGGAGTGCTGCCTGTGGTGATGGAATAATAACAATGATGATGGCAAGGGTGTTTCATACACTTTTCATTATTAATATTGTTTTTTTTTTCTTCGTTTTGTGGGAGGGGCTGGAGGAGTGTTTATAGATGGCACTAACACTCTCAAGGCGAGGTGCCAAGGGTTCTTTCTCCATCTTGCCTGTTTTTTTAAATTCCCTTTCTCCAAACAAAATAATAATCTGGTGTCGAGACTGAGTCCCTTGCAAAGACTATTTCTTTTTTTTTTCGGGTTTGTTCGCTTTGCCCCCCTCATCAAACTCCGGTGGTAAATGATCGCAGGGATTCAAGGAGGAGGCAGGCGTTATATATTAGAAAAGAGGTGGTGGGGGCATGTCACCATGAGCTTTCCCAGCACCCACTCTGTGCGTGACGAATTAGCAGCCGCCTTGCTGCTGGCCATCGACTACCTGCGGGGCCTTCTGAGGAACGGAATAAATCGGCAGGGAATCATGCGAAATTGCACACCAGGATCGGTGCCGGTGGCGCGTGGTGCTCTGCTGCTCATCTTCACATTTTTAACCGGCATTTTCATGGTTCTGAGGCGGCGCATCGTGTGGCGAAGGGAGCGGCAGCCCCCACCAGGGGCGGAACTGCAAGATGCACCTCTCAGAGTTGCCAGAGTTGCTGAAGGTAACGATACAGAAACGGCCGGCAGAGCTCCGCACGTGACAGATGATTGCAACAACATCTCAAGGCGCATGGTAGGGAATGACTTTGATGCGGATGGGCATATGCAGAAACTTCTAGAACATTTCCGCTCCTCCATGGCTGGGGCGCCGGAGCGCGAAGGGTCTAGCTTTGCACGATAAAAGATTGTGATGACCCAATACAAAGAGGAACAGTCTCTGCTTTTGCTGTGTTGCGTGTTGCTGTCCCAACTAGCACCAGTTCTTCCTATTAGTTTTGCCGATGCTCCTTTTAAAAAGAGTGCAAGTGGCTGTTGTTTGCTTTTTTTTTGTTGTTGTTCCTCTCTTTATATCACTCTGGTATGTGTTCCTCCCACAAACAACAAGGTGCTAGAGGTTGGGTATGGATCCGACAGCTCCACCCCTCTGCGACGGTGTGTCCTTCGTCGTCTGTAACGACGCGGTGTACGCCTACGGTGGTGCCGTGCCAGAGACAATTTGGCGTCTGCATTTGTCAACAGGAACGTGGAGCGAGATGACGTGCAATGGTGCTGTGCCCCCAGCGCGGCAAAACCACACGGCAGTGATTTATGCCGGTCATCTGCTTCTGTGTGGAGGGGAACCGATGCTGCAATCGCCGCAGCCGAAGTTGATGCCGTACTACGAGTTGAAGCTTGACACATTCACGTGGCTTTTTATCGACACATTTGGTGATGTCCCGCTTAACCGCTCGCATCACACCTGCACCGTTGTGGGTGATAGTGCGATCCTGCTGGGCGGCAAACCCGTGCTGAGCGAGAGTGACAACGATGGCGGTGGCATCACCAACGCACGCATGTCAGAGTATGACCGTGCAGGCTTCTACGACGTGTATATTCTCGACATCGTGCCGCGTGTGTGGCGGTCAGTGGCGGCGCGCGGGCCGTCGCCGCAGCTGTGGGGCCACAGTGCGGCTGCATACGACGACGCGTACGTCGTCCTATTCGGCGGCCTCGATGTCTCGCAGCGGTACACAGCGGCCATCAGCAGGCACGGCAGCCCACACCATCCACACNACCCGCCGGTGGCCGCGGTGTCGAACAAGCTCTTCCTGCTCGATGTGCACGCAGCGGCGTGGCGCGTCGTGCCCCCCGCCTCCGGCAGCGAGACACCGCCACGCGCCCTCCACGCGGCGCACGTGGACGGAGCGAAGATGTACGTGCTCGGTGGCTTCAACGTCGACAAGCATGGCGGGGTGGTGCTGCTGCAGAGGGGACTCTGGGTGTACGACGTCCTCAATGGCACGTGGAGCGTCATGGACTTCCCAGAGAAGCTCCCCGTCGCCGTGCGGAGGCTCTCTTGCATCTACGAGTCGCAGCTCGTCGTGGCGGCGACAATGGAGTCACTGTGGTGCATCGACCTCCACGAAGAGGCTAGGACGCGTGTGTGGCAAGAGATACCCACGTCCCAAGTGAAGTTCGTTGTGGAACCGGCGGCCAATGGGCCGGATGAGTACAACGAGATCATCAATCCAAGACACTGTAGCCATTATTACCGAGCCAACTCCGATGGTGGTGACAAGGAAGAAGAGTCAAAGCAGCCATCGTCATTCAATGTACTGCAGAAGGTGGCAAGGAAGGAGGTGGATACGATTCTTGACGAGATTCACCAGTTGCGGGAGCTTGTGCTCTCGAAGCGCAATTTAAATCCTTCACCGCTACCACCAAAAGCAGTAACAGAAGGCTCACATTCACTTTCACCACCACAAGGGCCCGTTCGACTCAAGCAGGAGGAGACTGAAATAGCCACTGCGTTCAAAACAGTAGCGGCGGAAGATGAGGACAAGAGGAACATGAAAAAGCTTAGAGAACGAAAAAAGAAGCGGGAGCGTGTGCAACAACTGACCAAGCGTCTGGCACAGCTAATGGCTCTTGAGGCGGAAAGGGAAGGCGAGGAGGCAGCCCGACTGTCCGCCATACAACAAATGGAATTACAAAATTCCTCTCATGGGGAAGTGGGAAGGCATTCCATAAAGGCTTCTGTGGAACACATCCGTCAGGACGCCGCCTTGGGGCACTGTAATTCCTTTCTTAACGTAGCATCACCTTTGTATCATGATCAGCAGCAGCACCGACAGGCTGAGGGTGAAGAAGGGCGGCTTTCGCCCTCCGTCGAGCAACGCGACAACTCTGACAGGTGGTCGAGAGTGCTTGATGTGATGAAGCGGTCACCCTCACGGCCTTCGAAGCGGGCGTTTCGTGCGAGTATCGTTACCCTGTAAGCTTTCCCTCTGCGGCAGCTATTCCTTTCCCTCGTTTTTGTCCTCTCTGTGTTTTTTTGTAGGAACTGTGGTTCATGACGATTCAGTTTGATTTTCTTCGGTATTCCTCTTCTTTTGTCTTGTTGTTGTTGTTGTTGTTGTTGTTGGGCACATACGTGTGCCTCTGTCTGTGTATATTTGTATGCGGATGTGTGTGTGCGTGTGTGTGTGACAGAGAGAGAGTGACGCATTGCATGAGAAGTCGATGGACTTCGGTCGAGAAAACCCGGAGGGCAGCCATAGGTGGCACCAGCAGCGGGTGGAGCGCCAGGTCTGTCGCCGCAACCAGAAACATATCCACCATGTATCTTTCCTTTGTCGTCTTCTCTCTGCTTGGGGCAGCCGAAAAGGGAAAAAGTAACTACAGGAGGCTATAAGGATAGCATAAGTGGTTGACGTAACAAATCTACGGGCATATCCTATTTATTTGAGGTAAATACAAGAGGGAATCATGGAGTATGATGAGGTGGCTGTGTCGTCCCGGCAACCAACGGGACCGGGGGCGGTAGAACCTCCCTGCGAGGACTTCAACAGCCTGACGCTCGACGCACTGCTGACGCACGCGAACTGGAAGGCGCGGAAAGAGGGGTTCGAGCGGGTGCGCGACGACCCGAAGAATCTTAAGGTGCACCTGTTGGAAAAGCCAAAGAAGCTTCTCGGCGAATCCAACGCAGCGGCGCAGGAGGCCCTCTTTGAGGCGTTTGGGGCATTGGTGAATTGCTGTGATGACGATGAGCTGGATGTGCTTGCTGGGCTTCCTCTCAAAGCGGTGTTGGAGAAGGGCATCGTTGGTCGCCCAAAGGCAGTGCAGGTGAGTTTCGCATTCGTTTCTGATCTCGTGGGGGCCGCCAAGCAAACGGCGGTGTTCGACGCGTTGCTCCCCGTGTTTTCTCACAAGGCGCCAAAGAGCCGGATGGCCGCCACCCAGCTATGCAGTCAGCTTGTGGGAGAATACGGTGTACAAGGGATCCCCGCAAAGGCAATCCTCAAGGCAATGCAACCGCTTTTTAACGACGCCAATGCCCAAGTGCGAAAAGAAGCCGCTGGGCTTTGCTGTCAGTGTTATAGGTATATTGGCACAGGTATCAAGGGTTTTCTCACAGATCTTCGCGAGGTGCAGCTGCAGGAATTAGAAAAAATGTTTGAAGACATTGTAGTTGGTGAAGTGCCTCCAAAGACGATACGTGGTCAGGCCCCCTCCACACCAATAAAGACAACTGCCCCCTTGCATTTGGTGAGCCATGGCGGCCCCTCAAATGATATCGATGATACGGCATATGAGCTGTATGATGAAGCACCCGTGCTGACGAAGCTACCACGCAATTTTTACAGAGTTGCCCTCGACAAAACTGCTAAATGGCAAGACCGGGTTGCGATGGTGCAGGACAATCTCCTTCCTCTCATCGCCGCACCTAAAATACGACTGAAGGACGACTACCATGAGCTCACGAGCATGGTTCGAGAACTCCTTATAGACCCACAAGCGCCACTGATGCTGATGGGATTTAAGTGCATTCAGGAGCTGGCAAGGGCCTTGCGAACAACATTTGCCCCGCATGCGCGTGCCTTCCTGACTCCCTTATTCGACAAGATGAAGGATAAGAAGACAAGTGTGGTGGAGCATATCACAACGACGCTTGAAGCACTCATACGGTACAAGTGCATCACATTGGACCAGTGCCAAGATGAGATTGAGGTCACCATGCAAAGTCGCGTCCCTAATCAGCGACTGGCGTTGACACAGTGGCTCTCTCGCCTCATAGATAAACTCGACTGCAGTCACTTTCACCGTCTGAGCCGTGCGCACCAAATGTTGGGTCGCCTTTTGAATGATGAGAAAGTTGAGATTCGAGAAGCGAGCTACACTCTTGTGGCAAAGCTGATGTCCCTTGTAGGAGATGCAAGTTTTCAGCCACTACTTCTCTCACTTGATGAGAAGCAGCGTGCCAGACTAGTTGTAGCTGTAAACAGTGCAGCAAATCTCCAGTGTACCCCTACCTGTTCCCCAGCCAAGAAAACGCAGCGCATCGAACGGCGGGAAGGCTCTGCTTCGGCAAAGCCAAGAAGTCTTTCGATTGGTGTGATGAACAGCAGTGGTGCGCCCAATGGAAATACGGTGCGTGGGCAGAGACCCGCCTCCGCCATGCCGCGTCGCTCGTCTCCTGACATGCGCAAGCGGTCCTCGACAGACGATGCAGTGGCACTCGAATCAACTCTTCTATCCAAGGACGAGGCATTGAAGCGCATGTTGGGACTGATGAATGGTGATACAACAGTACTTCCTCTACTGCGCTCAAAGGAGTGGTCCAATCGCTACAATGGTATCATGAAGATTCGAGCCGTGGTAGATGAATGGTCTGAAAATAAGTGTACCCAATATTTGGACACTATAGTTGTGTATCTGCGTGTAGACCCGGGATGGCGGGAATCTATTTTCCAAGTGTTTCAAGCGATGCTTGGTGTGATTCAAGAAGTGGTGACACGCGCGACAGCTGTAAGTGCCGGAGCGGGAAACGCCATCATAGCCGGTTGCATCTTTCGGCTTACAGAGCCAAAGAACAAACCTGTAGTTCGTGATTTGCTTACATGCCTCGCGAAGAGTTTGGGTGTTGCGTTTGTACTGCGGCACATGATTGCCGAAGTTGTACCCGTGAAAACGCCCAGGCTCTTGCAAGAATGTAACGAATTCATGACCCAACTTCTTCAATCATTTCAAGCACCTCGTATAGATGCGAAAAATGTCGTTGATTATGTGAAAATGCATTGTCTAGATCAACCGTCCCCCGCGGTGCGATCATCTGGGGTAGCGCTACTAGTGGGTCTACGCCTATCCGTAGGACCCATCGTGGACAGCTACATCGGCAATGTCAGCGCTGTCGTGCGTAACACATATGATGAGGGTATTTCTAACAGCAATGTTGAGGGAGGGACATCTCGCCGCGCAAGTGGTCTTGAGATACAGCGAACGAATTCCCCTATCTCTTCCTCCCGGGTGCAGGCTAGATCCCCAGCGAGAGGAACTACTAAACAGAATATAATAACAGCTTCAGCTGCAGCTACACCGCTTCCCAATACCGAAATACAGATGACTGGTTCGCGACGGTTCTCTAATAATCCACAATATTCCAATGAGAATGAGGAGGATTCCGGGCGTACTGACGTTTCACAGCAGCTATTATTTCTAGCAAAGCAAATTATGGGTGAAGCAGATTGGCGGGTGCGTCTGAATGCAATAAAGAAGGTAGAAGAACTGATGCTCGGCAGTAACAAGTTTATTACACAGAACGGGGTGGTAGAAATACTACGAGCCCTTCGTACTCGTTTCGATGAATCCAACAAGAACTTTGTGATTGATGTGCTAAGGACTACTGCCTTGGTAATGGAATCCGCTGGACCGGCGGCGTGTCGCCCTGAACTCAAGAATATCCTTCAAGGTGTGTTGGGAATGCTGGGTGATCAGAAGGCAAACCTGCGCGAGGAGGCCACCAAAGTAGCGTATTTGTCATTGGAGTACCTTGGGCTAGATGCCGTTCTTCAGTACATGCTGAAGCCTCTCACAGCAGAATCACCCACGTGTAATCAAACAGCACTAGAACTCATTGAGCGGGGCTTTAAACTGGATCCAGAGGCATCGGTGTCACGCCCGGTGGTCGCGTTAATGGTGCCCTCAGTCGTTCGGTTGTGTATGAACCGCATCCTCGAGGTGCGCTCTGCGGCTGAGCGCGTCATTGGCTACTTCATCCCCATTGTTGGCGACGAGGCGGTGTTGCGGGCTGTTCAGAGCCTCCGTCCTGCGGAGCAGCAGAGTGTCATGACGTCCATTGAGCGGCAACTGCAGCTGTACCTCCGTGTTGCAAATGAAGAAGAAGTGCGACACACAGCAGCTCTGCCAGCTCTGACATCGTCGCGTTGCCTCTCAGGCTCCACACCGCGTTCGCCACACACAGCAAGCAGGGACATGAGTGTCAGTCACAGAAGCACTGACCAACTGGCTGTGCCAGCACAAGGGTCATCATCATCATTCAATACAGGAGTGCGGCAGTCGTTTGCGCAGGAACCACCAAGGTCGGTGCCGACGACTATTTCAGCCACACGCGCTGCTCGGCCCAACACACGCAGTGATGAATTCTTGTCTATTCAAGAGATCATGGTGGGTCTGCGTTCTGCCTCTTCTTCGACGGCGTGTAGTACCTGCGCTGAGTTCATGGAGCGTCTCCAAAGCGGTGAGGATTGTGGGACACCAGAGATGATTCAGGTTATGGTGGAGCGTCTCTACGAGAATGCTAAAAACCTTGATGTTGGTCTTGCTCTTAGCCTTATCAGTTGCCTAAAGGCAATTTTCGAGACGCCTCGCTGCTCTCAACGGTGCCACAGTAGCCTATTATATCGGATGTTAGGCATCATATTTGACTGCCTTCTGTCAGAGCCGTTCTCGCTGCAGGAAGGGGTCATCAAGGCCCTCAACAACATGACACTGAGGCTTTTGGAGGGTTGTCCCGGTAATGATGTGTTCAGTGCTTTGATGTCCCGTATGACAAGGTACTCGGCAACGTACAGCGAGAGTGGTAAAAAGACAGATTTTAAATACATTCAGGTCACAGTGAAATGTCTGATGCGGTTGGACTTTGATAGCGTTTCGCCAGATAATGTAGTTCTCTGCTGTCATGAATACCTGCTGCAGCATCCACCTAGTGCATTCCGTAACTTGGATGACCTTTCTATCCGTACGGTCAAGACAATCTTGCAGGACCTCTCGCGTCGATGTGGACCACCGCTGCTTACCGTCGCTGATCGCCTAGTAGGAACGCAAAATCTAGTGACACATTTCATTCGTGCCTGCCTGGAGACTCGCGAGCGGGCAGTTCGGGCGAATAATACGAATGATCAGCAGGTGTCAACAGGGGCAATTGTTAGGGAACAGCAGTCCATCTCGCCTGGGCAACAGGGGAATGCCCTTCGCCCTCGTGCTATTTACGTGGATCCGCAGGCTGTACCAACGACGTCTGGTATTGCTCCTACACCACAGCGTGCCCACGCCGCTGTCGTAGAGGAGAAGTCCGTTGCCACTATATTTGGCCGCATCCGCAATCACGTGACATCAAACGAAGGCATTGAAGAACTATACGCGTACCTGAAGCACCACTCGAGAAGCCCGGAGTTTGACCAGCAGTTTCAACGATGCTCCGAGGCTTTCCGCTCATATATCAAACGGAAGATGGAACGGCAGATGATCGAGGATCCCGCAAAGCCACCGGGGTTTGCGCTCCCTGATATTTTGCGCTCGGTGCCGTAGACAGTATATACACACACACACATATATATATATATATATATGCAACTGCATGCACTTGTATAAGGTAGAGTAGAAGTGGGTGAAGTTTTTGTTGCACGCAACGGAGGAGGAGGAGGAGAATATCCTAACGCTGAGATAGATCTGTGTCTGTGGTGTTGGAGGACACTACTGAGTAATATGTCCTCTGTCTTTATATATCCTCCCGTCCTGTGCGTGAACATTGGGATAGGTATTGGGTGTCAAACCTTTTGTTCTCTTTTGTGTGTCTAGTCCGTCTGTTTTTTTTTTTGCACTTCTGCTCCTCTGCTGGTATTTTTCTAATGCACACATGTTCCCCTCCTTCCATTTGACATCAGTGAGTAGAACGGCGCCAACGTCTGCAGTGAATATCGAGAGAGGAGAAGAGAGCCGCATAAAAAGCAAAGCTACACATCGTCACGGAAGTGTGTTGTGAAGACGGAGGCGATAGAGGCAGGGCGTTGCGAGACGATGGTGGAAAGCTGCCAGGGGGAAGTGGCGGAGTTATCCAAGGCGATGCTGACAAACAACCCGAACGATGAGCGGTATATTGTGGAGGGCGCACGGTATGTGCAAACCCCGCCCAATCTCACTTTTTCACTCCCACAGTCGCAAGAACAAGAACAACAACATCAACAAGAGCAGCAGATGCCCACAAATGGCCCACAGGACCCATCATCGCACCCTCAGCCACCGCTGCAAAACGCAAATGCAGTCATTCTGCTTGGAAAAAAACCCGATGACGAATTGGTGCTGATAGAGGACATGCAGAATATCGCCACGCCCCTCGAGGTTGGCAACAGAAACAGCAGCAGGGATAGACCGGTAGGTTGGGTCCTCCGGAATGCACCACACGACGAAGTGGTTCCCGTGTCCACCCATGGAAGTTCTATCGGCACACCCATTGATGGATGTACTACATCCGGCTATGTATAGGCTGAATGTTCTAGGCGTTCCTCCACTAATGGGCCAGGGATTACGGAGACTTCTCTTCACAAATCGAAGGTGGAGTACGAGATATGACGTAATTGCTGCCCTTTATGGCGAAATATTAGCAGTTTGTTGTTTTAGTAAGTATTCTCTGTGTGTTGTGTAATGTGTAAAATGAACATGACTATCTCTCTTGAGCCGAGTTAAGGAGACTCGGTGGTGTGGATATTACCATATTGGCCGTTGTTGAGTGCGTACAGAATTCAGGGGTATTTTTTTTTTTCCTTTCACTGAGCCACGCAGATACATACATACACACACATACAAGCCTTATTGGCGGACTCACTCTCATGTGGTGCGGCGGCGAAAACCATGCTTGGGAACTGGGAACCCCAGAAAACACAAGAACAAAACAAAGGAGGATAATATTGAACGTGTACGTCTGGCGACTTCATATACTGCGTTTCATACTATGTGCACACATATATGCGAAGATATTTTTGTTCTGTCCTATTCTCTTGTTCTCTCAGAAAAGGTGCTGAGGAGTGCAATCTTGCACTAGAAAAGAATTCAGCAGAGCACGCAAAGTCCAAGATGCCGCCAAAGCGTAGAATTGACAGCGAGGAGGACACCGAGGAAGTTGACACCACCAGTGGATCGGATGAAACCAGCAGTAGTGAAGAGAAGGTGGAAAGCTATCAGACACAAGGGACGGAGCCACCTGAGGTGATCTTGACGAACAATCCGAACGATGAGCGGCACACTGTGGATGACGCGAGGCCCGTGCGGACTCCACCAAATCACACGTTGCGCCCGTCCCAGACAGAAAAAGAAGACTTGAGACAGATGCAGAAGGAAGTACAGCAGCAATCACAGGGGCAGGAACGGCATCCGCAGCAGGCGGTGCCATCGAGCAGTCAGTTGAAGGAACCGGTGCGCCATCATCCACCGCCACCGTCCGATCTGCAGTTGCAGGCTGAAAATGCGATGCATATGCTTCGAAACAATCCCAACGACGAATTTGCGCCAGTTGAGGATGCGCACCATGTCACCACACCTCGCGGAGATAGCAGGAAAACGGCTGAACCGGCAGGTGTAGTCTTGCGTAACGCGCCCCACGACGAGGCAATCCCTGTTTCAGCCCGCGGCAGTTCAATCGACACACCAAGTAAACGGTCTGGTGGGGGGGCCGGTGTAATGGCGCCGACAGACGACGAAGAGAGCACCGAAGAAGATGAGCAGGGCGGTGCCTCTCGCGGGTACGCCAACCAGCGACCAGAGGCCATTGACACAGAGGCCGAGGTGCCCGCCACCGTCATCCCAAACCTCGAGTACAAACCGCAGGACTATGCCAAGATAAACGCCACAGCCAGCCGCGAGATGCAGGAGCTCTTCAAGCACATTCTCGACTACCAGCCAGTCATCCCCGAGCTCCCAGCGAAGCTGCGCACATTCATCCCAGACTACGTCCCATCCATCGGCGACCTCGATCCCTTCTGCAAGATACCGCGACCGGACGGGCGGCCAGACGGCCTGGGCATCTACGTCCTTGACGAACCTTCTGTGTCGCAGTCTAACCCAGCGGTGGTGATGTTAGAACTACGTGCGACGAATATCCACTCGAGCGGCGGCTTGGCAGAAGTGGTGGACTCATTCGAGGACGCCGCAAACCGACCGGAAGTGATCGATCGCTGGATTGCAGATGTGAAAAAAGTGCATTACAAGAAGGCGCTACCGACAATAAACTACCAAAAGCCCATGCCTGAAATAGAGTCCTTGCTGCAGGTGTGGCCACCTGAGTTTGAAGAGTTTCTTAACTCCGATGTTCAGCTTCCCCCACCCCACATCGACCTAGATCTGGATCAGTACGTGCGCACTCTGTGCTGCATCCTCGACATCCCAACGTACAACTCGCTGATTGACTCCTTGCACGTTATGTTCACACTTTACCAGGAGTTTCGGGCGAACCAACATTTTCAGCATGAGTAGAAGTAGTAGTAGCAGCAGCGTATTTTTGGTCGGTTTGTTTTCTTCTTGTTTAGAGGTTCCTTTTTTTTTATCTTGAGAGACTCGTTTTTTTTTTGTTTATTTAGCCCTATTGGCATAAATATATGTATCTCCCCTTTGTGCGTCTCTTTGTTTCATGTCGTGTGATTCAAGCGTTTCATTTTTGTCTCATCTCGCGGTCACCAGCACCCCATTCGTGGTGGGGGGGCTGACAAAGGTGGGGGGGAAGGAGCGAGTGGTGGAGGCACGGCGCACGCTGTAAGCGTGGTGTGGTGTGCCGCGTCTGGAGAGAAGGTGGGGAATACAGAGGCTTCTGCTAACGTGAGCTGGAGCACTATCGTATTCTTCGCGATTTAACCCAATTTTCTATCAACGTTTGCCCTTTCTTTCTTTCTTCTTGCGAAGTAAAAACCAAGGCGGAAGAAAGAAAGAATAAAGTGTGCCCGAGTGGCAGTAGCGTCACACCGCATGAGCTCACCCACGTGGTCTGTCTACGAAGGGGGCTCGGATGACAGTTTTGAAAAGAATAAAAATAACAACGGCGGCAGCAGCAGGAACGGCTTGCCGCCGGAGCGCTCCCTGCGGGGCTGCGGGTTGCGGCAGAAGGCACTTCTGCAGCGCGGTGCGCAGGGCGCGGTGTACCTCGCGGAGGACGCCGACGGCAACACGTTCGCAGTGAAGCGGCTCTTCACGCAACGCAGCGATTTCGGTGTGCGTGGTATTTCCGAGGGGGCGTTGCGCGAGGCGGCCCTCCTCTCCCTCATCGCACGGCGAGCCGCTGAGTTGGATCTCGAAGGTGACTTTGGTGTGGTACGTTTGCACGGCGTAGTGGAGGCGCCGTTTCATGAGCTCTGCCTCATTCTGGAGATGTGCCCGCTCGATATCTCGCGTGTTTTCATTCGAAAGAGAAAGAGGTCGCAGGGGATCTGTCGTTTGAATTCGGAGCTCCCGCCCCGCTGCCCCATTCTCGCGAAAATGAATCTCATTCAATACCTCATGCGGGGGATCCTCAAAGTTGTGCTGTGTCTCCACGAACGCTGCCACATCGTGCATCGTGATTTGAAGCCCGGTAACTTACTCATTGGGGCGAACGGACAGGTGCGGCTTGCAGACTTTGGTAGCGCACGACTCATGCATGATGACGCTGCCACTTCTACTCCTGACTCAACATGCGGGGAGTACACGCCCACGGCCATCCGCACGACTGTGATCTACCAATCCCCCGAGTGCATTTTGGGGGAGCGGGCCTACACGACGACCGCCGACATGTGGGCCGTTGGCGTCCTGTTTGCAGAGATGTTGCTGCAGCAGCACCTCTTCACCTCCCGCAGCGAACTTGCTGTCCTTTCTGAGATATGGAAGCTCCTCGGTACGCCGTCAGACGATACACCGTCGTCGCCGTCATCGATGCCCCCCGCCGCTGTCACCCCTTCCACCGGCGAGAGTGCCCTGACGTACGCTGTGCGCACGGAGCCGACCATAGCGCTGAAGTTCCCTGAGACAATTGTCAACGCGGAGGGGCTCGATCTCCTAAAAGCGATGCTCACACTCACTCCGGGGACGCGTATCACCGCCGCCGACGCCCTTCGTCACCCATTCCTAAGCAGCGACGCCGCCAAGTCTGGTGACGCGGAAGCACGACTTCTGTGGCAGGAGAAGGTGCGGGCATGCGCACAGGAGGCAGCGCGGCCTGTTGCAGTTGGAATGCAGTCGCTCTTTCGTGCTGGTGATGAGTCCGATAGCGGCGGTGAGGATGACGGCAATCGCATGTGTGTGTTTTGATTCTTGTTGTGTTTACGTCTTTTGTAACACCTCAAAAACGACATGAGGAGGAAATGAAAACATGGTTTGTCGGAAGTCAGTGCTCTTTACAGAACTCTCCCCTGCAACACAAGGGCTCTCCTTTGTTGTTGTTGTTGTTGTTGTTGTTGTGTTCGGCGATTAAATTTCAGCCACCCTTGTTTATCCGTGTCTTCTTTATTGTGATTTGAACTCCTTATTAGGCATCTATTCTCCGTGATTAGCATTCATTTATTTCCCTTCTCTATCACTTCTTTACCTCTCTCTTTCTCTGCAGTCATTCTCGTCCTCTCTCCCGTTCTGGGTACACATAAGGCTGGAGGAGGTGAAGTGTGTGGGTGCGGGGTCGGTGCCCCTCCACTACCGCACTCTCGGCGTCAAGAGACGCGCGTCGCAGGACGAGATACGCAAGGCGTTCCACACCCTCGCGATTCGCCTGCACCCCGACAAGCCCGGCGGCTCGATTGAGATGTTTCAGGCTGCGCAAACCGCCTACGAGGTGCTGAGTAACGAGCAATCACGGCTCAGCTACAACGCGGAGCTGGACAGGGAGAGGTCGATGTTGCGCGGGTTCAAACGGCCGCCGCCACTCGACAAAGTCCGGCACCCGGTGCACTACAAGCTCGCCGACGGCGAGTACTACGAGTTCGAGGCAGCCCCAGACAAGCTGAAGTGCACCTTCAAGCATGGCGATATCATCGACTGGAACAGCCAGCTGGGTTGTTTCATTGGGATGGCAGCCGATGATTTCCTGTATTGGTGCCGCGACGGTCACAAGCACGCGTCGAAACTCTGTCAGCGGGGGAGCTTTGGCGTGGACACGGTGAAGGTTCTCGTGCGTGCCAATTTCAAGAGCATGCCTCGAGGCCAGAAGCGTTACCCCGTCCACGCCACCGCAACTGCTGCGTCGTCACCTTCGGGAACGCGCCGCGACTCCGGTGAAGAGACGGGTGAGGTAAACGATGCGAAGCCCCCGCCACCCAACACGGCGACAGCAGCGAGAGGAGGGCGTGGCGGCCGCCCGTCGGAGGCAGAGCGGCTGCGACGTGATATTCTGCGGCGTGAACTACAGCGGCACCTGCAAGAGCGCATGGCTGAAGTGGTTGAAGATGAAAAGAAGAGACGGGTACGCCTCATAGAAAAGATTGAGGCTGCGCTGGAGGACAGGCGGCAGGCATTCCAGGATTGGATCGCAGCGGGCGGCGTTCTAGACGGCGAGGAGCCGGCGTGGATCACACACGCAAAGTGAGAGGAATAAGAAGCGGCACCACCTCGCCAACGGTGGTGGTGGTGTTGGTGAAGATGGGGAGGCGAAGCAGAGGGAACAGGTGTGAGACGCGGGTGCGGTCATCGTGCAGGGCGGAAAATTGGGAGGGCGACTGCAAATTTGGTAGGCACGTACATATTATAAAAAAACGAAAGTGGTGTGCGCAAGTAAGCCGCGAGTGGAAGGTATGTTTCTTGTACGTTTCGTAGATATGGCAAGAATCGCTCGGCTCCATGTGTCTTTGTTTTGTGGAGGGAGAATGAAGAGAGTCAACTGCGCAGATCTCTGAAACTGTGTGTTAATTGTGGGGACATTGTTATCTCTTTATTATGCGTGGCGTGTGGGTTGGGTTACCTTCCAGCATATTTGCGCACTGGTGAACCTGTTTTAGCCCTCCTGTCTCTCAACGTTTTGTCTTGATTGTTATTTACCAATTGAATAGGAACACGTGCCGAGCACCGGGGCACCCGCTTTGTTCCGTTTGATTGAGTATCTGTTTGTGTTTCGCTCTTCGTCATGGCCGAGGACAAGCCGCTCTTTCAGTTCGACACAAATAGTGGGCCCGATCCGCACCACCCTGATAAACAGCATCAGCGGCAGGCGCGTAGCGGATTGTTTCACCTCCCGCATGGCCCACTGCGCACGCCTATCTTCATGCCGGTTGCAACGCAGGCAGCACTGAAGGGCGTAACGGTGGAGCAGCTAGAGGCGCTCGACGTGGAAATTATTCTCGGCAACACGTATCATCTGGGCCTTAGGCCAGGTGAAGACATCCTTAACGAAGTAACGCGTCGAAAGAACGCCCAGGAGAAAGATGCTGTACCCGGTGCAAGCAGTCCACAGGGAGCACAGTCATCGCGTATTCGCAATAATATGGATGGAATTCACTTCCTACAGGGCTGGCGGCGGAACATCCTCACAGACAGCGGCGGCTTTCAGATGGTGAGTCTCCTGCGGCTCGCCAAGATCACTGAGGAGGGCGTGCGCTTTCAGTCGACGCACGGCGGCAGCGGTGGTGGATCCCGTCTCGGTAGCGACGGTGGCAATTCTGACACCCCCGCCGGCCCCAATGGGTTTGACGAGTATACGTTGCTCCTGCGACCAGAGGACAGCATCCGCATTCAAAACGCCATTGGTGGTGACATCATGATGCAGCTCGACGATGTCGTACACGTCCTCACAACCGGGCCCCGCATGGCGGAGGCTTCGCGCCGCACTGTGCGCTGGTTGGACCGCTGCCTCGCCGCCAACAATAACCCGGAGAAGCAAGGCATTTTCGGCATTGTGCAGGGTGGCCTCGACGCGACACTGCGGGCGGAGTGCCTTGAAGAGATGGTGAAGCGTACTGCCTGCAAGGGGTACGCCATTGGCGGTCTCAGTGGTGGCGAGGCGAAGGAAGACTTTTGGCGCGTTGTCGCGCAGTGCTGCAAGGGGCTCCCAAAGGACAAGCCGCGGTACTGCATGGGCGTGGGGTACCCGGAGGATATCATGGTGTGTATCGCACTTGGGGTGGATATGTTTGACTGCGTGTACGCCTGCCGTACCGCACGCTTCGGTTCTGCGCTGACGTCTGTGGGAAAGCTTCAAGTGTCAAAGAAGGCGTTTGCCGAAGACATGGGGCCGTTGGATCCTGCCTGCAGCTGCGCCACCTGCAAGACCTTCACCCGTGCATACCTCCACCTAGTAGCAACGAAGGAATCTATCGGCTCGACCCTTCTCTCTTACCACAACGTGGCGTACCTCATCAGCCTGACCCGTGGGGCGAGGGCGGCCATCGAGAACGGGACATTCACCGAGTACGTGCAGAAGTTCTTCGCGTCGTACTATCCCAAGGGGGACTATCCGTCGTGGGCAGTGGATGCCCTGCGCTCAGTCGGCATCGAGCTCCTCTACTAAGCACGAAGGATGCAAGTAAGAAACAACACAAAAAAAGAAAAGAAAAGAAGAAAAAAGACACACCACAGCAACAACAACAAGGGGCAACCAAAACAATTTAAAAAAAAAACATACGGTGATGACTGGCTGCTTTGGCAATTCCACGGATATGTCTTTCTTCTTCTTCTCTCGTTGTGGAGTGTAATGTGTGTTTCTTTCCCTGTTCTTTGTCTGGGAAGCAAAAAGAGGAGAAAGGGGTGGGATGACGGACATTGTGCCGATTTCGCTGCAGTGCTACATGGGGCGCTTCGAACTGCCGGTGGACAGGCGTCTGACTGTTCGAGAATCCCTGCGGCACTTCCAGCGGAGTGTCCCAGCGCTGGGCCAAGTGGAGATGGGCGCCTACGTGGTGAACCACCGCGGGAAGTTTCTGCTCGATGAGAGCGCCCCGCTGAAAGACGTCAACGTTGGGGAGGACAGCGTCCTGATACTCGTGAAGAAGAGCAACTGCCCCGCAGCGGACGTCAACAAGGGGGAGGAGGATGAGTGAGTGGGGTGCCTCATAGATTCTGTGGACGGTTGTTCCGTGTTTGCGTGAATAGTGGAATGCGCGAGGTCGGCAACACACGAAAACAAATCGTTCGCACAGCTGTGTGCTTTTGTTCGGCACGTGTGGGTGCGTCCCCGTCTATGATGTAAACAAGTACGGATGCCTGTATGCGTAACGAAAAGAAAAGAAAAAAAAAAGGGCAATAGGCCGCGGCGATGGTGAAGCGCAACAGCAGCTGCAAGCACTTTTTATTCCGTGCAACTCTTTTTCTTGTCTTGTGTTTCTTTGTTGTTGTTTTTGCGTGTGTGCCACACAGAGTCTCATCCGTTCCATCTTGGTCTTCTAGTCCAAAATATATCGCTCTCTCTTTCTCTCGCTTTATACCTTTCTCCGTCACCTCGAGTAGTGTGTGTGTGTGTGTAAGTAGCGCTCGCGCCCAGTTTGTGATCCCCCCTCGCGTGGCTCCGGGGAAGGGACGAAAGCCGACAAAAACAAGCGGTGTTTCTGCACAAGCAAGGGCGCATTGATAGAGTTGGAGGGGTGGGGAGGAACAAGCGGCACATGTATCAATCACAAGGCGCCGCCTCCGGCGCGACTGGCGGCAATGGCCCCACAGTGGGCACCGTCGCGGCCTCCACTCGCTTCCCCAAGACTATGACGTTCGAAGTGAACCCAGATGAAATTTTCTTTCATGACTTTGAACCCCACAAGACGTACGAGGCATCGCTACATCTAAAGAACGTCACAAAGGAGGCGCAGTACATTCGCGTCGCACGGCCGGCAAGCCGATTTCTGGTGTTGAAACTGCCGCGGCACGGCGTCACGACGATGAAGGTTGCCTCTGGCCTCTCCATCACGTACAAGGTGCTCTTCACGCCTGAGGAGAACCGCGACTACGCGTGCGACCTCGTCGTGACGACCGACCACGAAGAGTTCACTGTTCCCGTGCGCGCCGTCGCGGGCCGTGGCCGTCTCACGCTGCCGGGTTCCTTCACGGTTTCGCCGTGTCCGGTGAAGGGCAGCGCCGAAACTGCGCTTTTCCTTCGCAACACCGGCCGAATGGAGTGCCAATGGCGTGCGGAGGCACCGGCGCCGTTCGCCATCACACCGTCCTCTGGCATTGTGCCGCCGGATGGAGGCGTCCTCCCCGTCAGCGTTGTCTTCTCCCCGCCGACGCTGCAGCAGTACGACTCCACTATTGTCTTCCGCCTTGGCCCGGAGGAGGACATGGTGCAAGAGTTACCCCTCACAGGGAGCGCCGTGGAGGTGGCGGTGGTGCTGGAGCAGAGCACATTGGAGTTTCCTAGCACATTCGTCACGCTGGAGAATCAGGCAGTGGTGCGTGTGCGGAACGACAGTGACTATACGGTGCACTTCACGTGGAAGTCGGACCGTACAGAGGCGGAGGAGGCGCAGGCGACAGAACACAATCTGTTGCAGCAGTCCGAGTTGGTCACATACACAGTGATGTCGAAATCACAGAATGATGCAACCCAAAAACGACTTGCAAGGGAACGACTAGATATTCTCGCAAAGGCAGGACGCGTGTTTGATGATGACGTATTCACGCTCGAGCCAGTTAGTGGTGTGATTTACGCGAAGGGAAGTAAAGAGTTTGTTGTCACCTTTAATCCACAACTCACCATGGATTACCTCGCCACTGCCTACCTCGACATCAGCGGCAGGCGGCAGCGACTCCCGTTACAAGTAAAAGGCACAGGTCTCGGTCCACAGTGCGAATTGGAGTACAGCCGTCTAGACATTGGTGACATCTTCGTAGGTGCACTGCACGAGTACGAGGTGGCCATTATGAACAAGGGCTGCATTGAGGCACGCTACACGGTGCTGCCTCAGGATACGCTTATGGGGCAAAAGTTTACGTTCTCCCCATCGGAGGGTGTCCTGGCGCCTGGCACACACGAGACGCTTGTTATTCGCCTTCAGTCCGACCTCGTCGGCCTCATATCCGAGACATTTCGCATTCATCTTCACGGCTCTCTCGCAGATCGCACACTCCGCTTCCGCGGTCGTGTCACTGGGCCCTCACTTCAGTTCGATGTTGAGAACCTTGACTTTGGTAATGTCTCATACAACTTCCTCCACTCCCGCACAACGACGATGCTGAATACCGGTCAGGTCCCTATTCACTTCCATCTGCGCATCCCCGAATCCACCCCGCTCCACACGGCGATCACGGTTGTCCCGTCCGACGGCGTCATTGCACCTAATGGGCGGCAAGAAATACGCGTCGATTTCACCTCTAGCACGGTGGGTGACTGCGAGACGGTGCTGTTAGTCGACGTGGACGGTGTTGGCAAAGCGGTGGAGTCGCTCCCCATAAGGGCCGCGTGCCTTGTGCCAGCACTTCAATTATCTATGGAGCAGCTGCATTACGGTACCTGCTTCGTTGGTCACGAGTACACCATGAACCTGGAAGTCGTCAACAAGACTGCACTCCTTGGCAGGTATGAGGTTACCATGCTTAATGAAGATGGCGGGTGTGCGGTGAATGCAAGTGTTGTTATTGGGTCGGCAGGTGAATCACAAGGTGCTGAAGAGATTAGTCCGCGTAGTCGATCCCAAGTTCCGGTCAAACTAACACCTTTGGTTGTTGGTGGACTGCGTATGACGCTGTACGTGCGTGTGTTGGGCTCGGACGAGCCGCCACTGCCTGTCCTTGTGACTGCGACAGCGCGTGGGCCGACCGTGACAGTGGATTCCAAGGCGATTGCGTTCGGCACGCTGACGTTGCTGGAACACGCAGAGCGAGACCTCTTGTTATCCAACACGAGTCCTATCCCCGCCTTCTTCACCGTACGCCTCCCACACCGCGAAACGCGGGAGGGTAACTCAGTCTTTCATCTCGAGCAGACAGAGGGTGAAATACCGCCATACGGCAGTTTTGTGGTGAAAGTGTCGGCGTGTCTGGACGACTCGCGACCCTTCACGGACAAGATCCAAGTAAAGGTTCGGTACGCAGAGGATGATGCGCAGGTCATTGCAGTCTCTGCAACCGGGAAGGGCTACGCACTTGTCCCCATCGAGCCTATTGACAAGATTGACTTTGGCGATGCCTTCACCGAGACACAAGTGGAGAAGCCGTTGGTGCTCACCAACAAGGGCCGGCGCGACATTGATGTGCTGTGGACAAACCTGCGCGGCACTCGTGTGAAGCCTGGCGGCCCACCCATTGTGTTTCACATCCACCCCGAGAATGCCGTTATCAGTGCTGGTGAATCCTTCACGTTTAAGGTGCAGGGGTTGGTGAAATTTGCGGGTAACTTCACTGAGGAGTTCGTGCTGAAGGACAAGAGGGTCTTTAGACCTATTCTTACTTCCAGTATAACAGGAAACTTTGTCCCCCCGTTGATCGCCTACAGCACAAAGAAGATCGGTTTCGACTACATCTACGGTGCCGAGGGAGAGGCAGGCCAGACGGTTATGACAAAGACATTTACGATGAAGAACATCACGACACGGCCGCTACGGGCGGTACTGAAGCGTTTGGAGGTGCCGTCAGGGAGTCCCTCTCCGTTTCATTTGGTAGAGCCAACGTCCTTTGGTCTCGCGAGCGGTGAAACACGCATTATAGGTGTCACCTGCAATACCGCCTATCGCCACGACAACATTGCCCACTCAGTAAAGGGCCGGGTTCTAGTCGCCTTCGAAAACCATCCATTTACTGAGTACGTGAGCCTTTCAGCCGACATTGCATTTCCGACCATCCGCATTGAACCCGAAGGAGAGCAGGTGAACTTTGGATCTATTCTTGTGGACACGGAGGGGCGTTCGGAGCTCACCCTGACGAACCTCTCATCTTCCGTTGCAGCAAACTTCTTGTGGAGTATCGAGTGCCATGACGAGGCCGCAGAGGGGCAGTCTGAGGTAAAGCAGAAACAATTCGACTTTGTCCCCTTTCGTGGCACCATCCCACCTGGTGGACAGCGCGTCGTTGAGGCTGTTTTCTACGGTACGCGTGGACGACACGAGGCCACCGCGACGTGTATGCTGGAGGGCGGGCCAAAATACAAAGTGGGCCTCGTGGGCTGGAGCGACGCCGCGGTGCGTTTCGACTGCACCAGCCTCGACTTTGGTGTTATGCATCACAGGGCAGTGGCGAAGAAGACCATCACCATCTCAAGCCTCTCGCGCGTTGCCGTTCCCTTCACAGTAGACCTTGCCTCGCTGCGGCAACCAGGGTCTTTGACAGTAAAGCCGCTGAGCGGGATTGTGACGAACAAAGTCTCACTCACTGTGGCATTCAGGCCGTTAATACCAGAGGAGGTTGTAGAGACATTCTTTGTGCAGGTGGGTCACCTCGACCCACAGCCCATCACGGTGTGTGGTCTTGGTCAGACAAGTGCTATGACAGTGGCATTGTGCGACAAGAATGTGACATTGACTCGCGTGGAGGACGCAACGTACCTGCGTTGCCTTGAGGAGCTCGCAGATAGCGACTGGGTCCCGTATCACACAAAGGCTGGCTACACGCCAGATCTGTCGCACGTCGTACCCCTAGCGATAGAGGCTGAGCGGATGGCGTTCTGTCGCAACATTCTAGCTACCTCGTCGACGTCAACACCATCGGCAACTGAAGTACAGCGCGTCGCTGGTGGCGGTACTGAGAAGAAAAAAGAAGAACCACTTGTCCTCTCACGGTATGTGGTTGAATTTGGCCACATGACACGGCAGGAAACCCGCACTGTAAATCTTACGCTCGTGAACACGTCCATGTACTCTGTGTCAGTTCTGCTTGACAAGCGGGCAATTGAACCCTTGCCGCTGCGCATTGAGCCGCTGAAGATTCCCACGATGTCACCCTTCACAGAAACAGAGGTGAGCCTGATACTCGCAGCTGATGACCCGGAAAAAATTGCGACTGGCGAGAACCAATTCGAGTTCTTTCTTGATATTAATAAAGGACCCCGCGTCATTATTGAGGTGCGCTGCTTTGTTGCTACACCAATATTGGTGCCTTTTGAAAACACGGTGGACTTTGGCGACATCCTTCTTGGTCATGTGAAGAAGATACCGCTGCACTTTGTCAACAACGAGGCCGTCCCATGTTCGTGGAAGATGCTGCTGATTGAGTCCAAGCGGAAAGAAGAAGGCGATGCTAATGCCGGTGCCGTCACCCCCACCGCTGTTACTGTTGCTACATCTGCTTCTGCAGGGACATCACTTGGCAATTCCAGACGGCAGTTCAAAGTGAACAAGGACCGAGGAACACTTGCCCCCAACAATTGCATGACCATCCAGCTGAATTTTATGTCAAGATTCAAAGGGCCCGCAAAGGCCAAACTGCGCCTCCGCTACACATCCAATCCGGAGGATTATTACATTGTGATACGAGGCAACGTTGTGGGGGTAGATGTAGAGTTTTCTCCGTCACCACTGGTGTTCCCACCGGTGTTTCCGTGTCAGACGATGAGGAACGCCTTCGTCATCACGAACAACGAGGAGCGGCCATTGGAAGTGTTCAGCATGCAGCTTGATCAGAAGTACCGGGTGGAGCTCAACATTCTGCGGCACACCCTCGCAATGCAGAATACGCCGAGTGGTAAGGAAAGGGAACTCCACCTCCCGATTCGTGAGGCAGGCTACTCGCTCCCGGGGCCACTCCTCGACGCCGCATTTACGGAAATTCAAACAGAGGAGTCGGGGCTTGAGTACAAGGAGCCGGAGGCCGATGATGATAACCTAACAGAGCGGCGGGCTGGAAGTCGGGGATCGTCGCGGCGTCCGCACTCTTCGCAGCCGCGGACCGAAGCACCAGGAGCGACCCCATCGCAGCGTGAGCGGCCAGCAACACGTGCAGCGTCCGCAGCCTCAGGAGTGAATGTAGTGAGGCCACAGCTAGTGGTCGTCACTGGGCCACCTTTTGCAGGAAGGACGACACAAACACGGAAGTTGATGGAGGAGCGGAACCTGACGCAACTCGATCTGGACCTCATGGTACGTGCAGAGGCTGAATTTGATACAGCAGAAGGAGAGAGCATCCGTAACATCCTCTCGGAACGAAGGGAACGCGGCTCAGCGCGTACAACAGAGGAAGCTGTTAACTGCAGTACCCCGGTCCCCGTAGAGAACCTTGTTAACTCAAATGTGGTGAAGATTCTCTACGCACTTGTAACGCGTCATCTCACATCACTTAGTGGGTCGGAGAATGTGATAGTAGATGATATCAAATCGATCCTTACCGATGACCGAGAGGCGGTGTTATTCGCCATTGAGAAGGCAGCAACTACTACAGGAAGGGCACTGCAGATCATCTCACTTTGCGTGAGTGAGGCGACAGTGGGGCTCCGCCGCAACCTTGAAAAACAGCAGAGGTGCAGTCAAGGCGCTGAAGAGGCTATGACAGTGCCGCTCACGGAGGATGAATACGAACAACTCTCCGCTGACGAGCGTGACGCATACAATCACCGTCTGCTACATTATAACACATGCAAGCGGGCCCTAGCGGAAGCCACAAAGGAGGTGGCACGCTTCAGTGAAGAGCGGAAGAGTGCGGAGCAGCTATCGGTGCAGGCTATGATCGATGCTTCCATTGCCGCAAAAGAAGAGCAGGAGGCCCTCTTGCGAAGCACCACGAAGGGCAAAAAGCATGCGCCGGAGCCGCGTCCCAAGCCGGTGTGGAACAACCTCTCCGAGCTCGATCAGTATAAGGAACTCTATATGTTGCTGCGCCGCATGAATGGCACAATGCACACCGCTGTTGACGCTGAGGGAAGTGACGAGGCGGTGACCAAGGCAATTTTGGAGCAGGCATTCCCGCTCTCAGACACAGAAATGGAGTTGAGGCCGGCCACACCAGTCTCCAATGAGAAAACAGAGGAGGTGCAACGACGTGTGGATTATTCGCCCGAGGCAAGAGGATTCGGTTTGTGGGAGTTGATTGATGACAGCCGTGTGCGGCGCACAGTCGAGTCATTGGAGGAATTCCGTTTTTTCTCCGTTGTGCAACGTGATGCAGTTGTGAAGAAGTCACCGAAGGGGGCGGCGCAGCAGTTGGTGTCGGTGGTAGAGGAAACAACGAGGTGGATAGTCCCGCCCAAGTCGTCGGTGTGCGTCACCGTTGTGTTCTCCAGCGAGAAGCTGGGGAAACACGCAACTTCCTTTTTCTTTGGTATCACAGGCACGAGTCAAGAAATCGTGCTGCCTGCCGTTGCGCGCATCGCGTACCCGGAGATATGCCGTGATGAGAAGAGTGTTTTTGCCGTGACGAAGCCACGTGCAATTGCCGGAAAGCAGATGAGTCGCGTCTTTCTTACTTCGAAGCGGACGTACGAATTCGGCCCTCTTATCGTCGCTGGTGGGGGAATGGCAACACCGCTACCGTCCGTCCGTAAGCTCAACAAGCGGGCGAGTGACGTTGGAATGATTTTCAAGAGGAACAGTTCCCTCGCTCTCCGGGAGAGTGGAGCACAGGAGACCATGACCTTCACAAACAGTGGCATATTCCCTGCGGAGGTTACGGTTTCCTTTGGGAAGGAGAAGGAAAACACCTTCACTGTGACACCGAGTAAGTTCACATTACCAGTAGGGGAAAAGACGACGGTGGTACTGCGTGCCGTGCCGGAAACAATTGGTGAAATCTCATCACGGCTCGTCGTAACAGTGCGTGACAACCCAACACCCTGGTACGTTAATGTCTCCTGTATTGGTACGCGACCAGCCGTAACGCTTGATGGGAAGAAGGAGTCAGTGGCGCAGTATGGACGATGCTTGCTTACTCGTCAGGTTGAGAAAGCAATCATTATTGCTAATGTCAGTTTGATGCCTGTGCGCTGGCGTATCTTGGGTGTTGAAAAATTGCCAAAGGAGTTTGAGCTGAACTCCCCTGGTGGTCTTCTAGACGTGAACGCTGTCTTCCCGCTTGAGGTGGCCTTCAAGCCGACACGAACAGGCGTGCACAACATACCGCTTAAGGTGGAAGTGACAGACTCAGACGACGTGCCGTTTGAGTCTCTCCCATTGGTTATCAAGGCTGAGGCACATGATACAGTCCTGGAATGGACTCGGGAAGTTGATTTCAAGCTTATGCATGTGGGTGATACAAAGAAGGATACAGTGCGCATTCTCAACAAGGGCCCGTACGAGGTTGGCTATATACTTCGGATTCCTAAGTGTTTGCAAGGCCTTATTACACTCTCACCAAGTGAGGGACTGTTACGCGGGCTCGTCGGCTATAAAGATGCATCATTAGTGAACGTGGATGTGACAATCCGCTTCGAGAAGGAAGGTGAAATTCCTTCAGCACTTGGTGTGATTGAGGCCTCATTCTTTGATCCCATCGGAAATGAACTATTGTTTCCAGTGCAAAGCATCCCTGTGAATGGGGAAGCGTGGTACAATCGTTTCACTATCAAGCCGTCCTGTATTGATTTTGGATCCTGTTTCACCGATCAGAAGAAGCAGTGCTCCTTCGAGCTGCGCAACACTGGTCGCTTCCCGCTCAACTTCCGTCTGTTTAACTACAAAAATGGCCCCGCATTGCCCACGGCAGATGAGGATGAAACCACAGTCAAGAAGCACCGAAAGTCAGCCAAGGCAGAACCAGCGTTTCAACTTGGTGCCTTCACAGTGTCACCGAGTAGTGGAACCGTCCCGGTGGGTGAGGTGTTTGTGTTCCAAGTGGTCACTCTGCAAGGCGACAAGACGAGTCATAAGGAGACACTCGGCATCTACGTTGACCACTGTGAGCCGGATTTGGAAGCGAAGGGGGTGCCGTTTGAACTTGTCGCTTCACCAACAACACCTGGCATAGTGGCGGACCTGACGTCCTCTGTGGATGTGGAAACAGTGTTTGAGGAGCAGCAGGTGGTGACTAGCATGGCACAGTGCAACAGGTCGATGCGCGCCTATGTGAGGGATAGTGGTCTCTTCTCATTTGGGGCGGCTCTTGTTGGCAGCCGGTTGGAGGAGCGATTCCGCATCGCCAATTCCAGTCCACTAACATGTTTAGTGAAGCTGCAGCTGCTACCAAAGTATCCACGCGAAAAGAAGGAGAGAGAGAAGAAGGATAAGGATGCGATACTTGGCGTGGACGGTTTTGAATTGTTGATAGATGGGGAGCCGGAGGGTACAGACACAATGCAACTTCCATCATTCGAGAGCCGATTTGTGACGGTGATTTTTACCCCTCCAACACTGCAATCATTTAATGCTCGTTTTGAAGCTGTTGTTATGGGTGGGACAGATCCTAAAACCAGCGCCCTACGCTTTGATCTTTCAGGCGAGGGTGTCCTGCCAACAGTGGAGTACATCCTTCCGCCACGACTGCAGATTCCATTTGTTGTGAAGCCACCCACACCAACAAAGAGGAACGCCAAGGTGCGTGGACGGGAGGCAAAGAGATCGGTGAGTATGCAGCATGTATTGGAAGATGCTGCAAACGCCGGCGCCGGTGACACGATACAGCTTCCACTCACGCTTCTCGGGGCAGTGTCAACTCGGTCTTTTACAGTGCGGAACACTGGTGATATTACCGCCCACATTCGACTAACGGCACCAGATGAGTTTCCGAAGGATATTTTGGTGTCAAAGTTACGCGAAGAAATCTTACTCCCTGTTGGAGGCGAGGAAACTTTCACACTCTCCTTTACACCGACCGCTGTGGTAAAGCGACGTGTGCGGCTACGTGTTTCTGTGACGGAGAATCCGTACGAGGACCGCGAGCTGTGGGTTGTGGGCGAGAGCTATTTCCAGACCATCAGTTTCGACAACATTGACCCGGGCAGTGAAGATCACCTCTCTCTGGGCCACTGGTACGTGTCGCAGCCGAAGGAGCATGTGGTGACGCTGCGCAACAACAGCCCCCACGCGGTGCGTTTCGCGTGGGACTGTTCCTCTAATGCCCTACGCTGCTCACCGATGATAGGGCATCTGTCAGCTGGTGCATCGAAGCCGATAACGTTGCGGCTCTTTGCAGACTCAGTGTCAAAGGCAACAATTCAGTGCGCACTCCGCGTGGTGTCAATTGAGATGTTGAAGGCGGATGACTGGGACAACACGCAGACGAAGGCCAAATGGGTAGCGATGGCCTCCGCCAGCGATGAGACACAGACTACATCATTAACTTCAGAGACCGACAGCCGGCGGAACCTGCGCAAAGTTGTCGAAGCGATTCCGGAGCCAATATACAACCCCACCAACGACCTCTCAGTGCAGAAGACGCTCTACGTGAGTTATGCATGTGATTTTACATCATACAAGGTCACGTTGCCAATGAACGACGGCGTGGGAGCTTCTGATCCCATCACGTTCCCAGTGACAAAGATCTTCCAGAAGAGATCTACCCCTCTGCGCATCACTAACACGGGACTAAACGTCTTGCCCTTCTCGTTTGAGGTGAATGGCGTGCACAATCGCTCTTCTGGTGACATGGATCTCACCGGTGTCTTCAGTGTGGACCCTGTCGAAGGAGAAATTGCACCCCAGAGGCATCTTGACGTGCGTGTTACATTTGCCCCAAGAACTGTCGAGAGTGTCACGCAGCTACTCGTTGGGACCTTTCTGTACAGTCAAGATCCCAAACTGTACCTGCCAATGCAGGGAAGCGCGGAGTGTCCACTAGTTCACTTCAATGTGCCGCAGTGTGACTATATGTCTAACCGAATCGACGGCGAGGCTGGACCTGATCTGAACCCTGAGACTATTGCTGTCATGTTCAACGCATGCGGCCTACAGAGCAAATCCACTGTTAGCTTTAAGGTCATTAACCCCACCACGTCGACGTATCGGTTCGAATGGATCGGTGATCCCTTGTCACAGCGTCTCTCACCGTTCCGTTGTCTTACGCCATCCGGCTCTATATCAGCGGGAAAGCAGTGTGAGATGACCTTCGATTACACTGCCACTTCTATCGGCCTTCGCGAATCGAAATGGAGTTTCATCATTACGGGTCAGGTGTCCGTGCCATTCTTGCTCGTTGGTAAGGCAGATGAACCAAACGTGTTTCTGCACGTGAGCAGGGTACATTTTGGAGGCGTAACCGTTGGTAACAAGACCGAAAGAATCATCCAGCTGGAGAACCGTGAAGATGTTCCCTTCCCCTTCTCTTTTGACCGTGCCTCATTGGACAGCGAGACCTCCTTTGTCGGGGTGAAGCCGCTAAGCGGCGTGGTTCCAGCCAAGTCTGCAATCCCACTTTCAGTGTGGTTTTGCCCGAAGGAAGAGATCATGGTGAATGTCAAGTTGATTTGCCGAGTGAAACGTCTGAGCGACCCGCTGACGATAAATGTGAAGGGTGAGGGCCTGCGTGTGCATTCCACACTCAGCATTGCGGACGATGACGATGACGAGACTTCCGAACCTGTTGATGTGCCGCTATCGCANCCGCTTTGCTTCAACCTTGGTCGCGTAGAGGTGGATAAAGTTGTGAAGAAGCGGTTTGTGCTCACGAACGACGGGCAGTGCTCGATGGAATACTTAATGATGGTGCCGGAGCACCGCTCTGTTGTGTTGAGTCCACTTTCTGGCACAGTAGCGCCGAAGCAGCGCGCCGTTATCATGCTGGTTTATTCTCCCACAGCGGAGGAAACACTGCGCAACTTCAAGATTCAGTGCAGAATCGAAAAGAACACAATCTATAATATCCGGTTGGGTGCTACGAGTTACGTGCCGAAACTGAATCTGGGCTTTGACAAGTACGACTTTGGTCCGTGTTTTATCACGGAGTTTTCAGCCGGTGCGGTGATGAGCACGACACTGTCTATGATGAACGGTGAAGCCAACGAAAACATGACGTTGGACTGTATCCTTTTCAAGAATGATGTTTTCGAGTTGGATGCCACCTCCTTTGTGCTTACACCTGGTGAAATGCGGAACGTGAAGATCAGTTTCACCCCGCGTGAGGTTGGCGAGTTCACTAGTGAGCTCAAGATTCTCCTCAACAGCTCATACCCCATATTCGTTCCGCTTACAGGTGAAGGTGTCATTCCACGCATTGAGGTACCGATCCGATTCCTAAAGTTGGGCACTGCACGGATTGGCGAGCGCCGCACTGCGGAGCTGCGACTTGATTGCCGCAGCCGCGCTCTCACGCCGGTGTCTCTTGCCAACTGTGTGGATGCTGATTTGCAAGAGAAGGGTGTTTCCATCTCTCCCAATGAGATGTTCTTGTTGCGACCCCGCGAGGTGCGAAACATCACTGTCTCCTTCAAACCTACAGCTCGTATGCCGGAGTTCCAGCGTGAATTACGTATGGTTGTTTGTGGTCGTGAAATGCCGCTAGCAATTGTTTCTGCCTCCTGTGAGGACGCAGAGGTGCACCTCGATGTGCAGAATGTCCTCTTTGATGATGTCGTGGTAGGCGCCACAGCGTCCCGTCGCGTTGTTATTATGAACAGTGGTGACATCTCCCAACGCTTCAAGTGGGATTTGGTGTATGGCACGACTGGTGAAATGAAGGCTATTCCGGCAACTGGAGTGGTGCGCGCCCACGCGGAGCAAACGTGTGAGTTTGTTTACGCACCAAAGAAGGTCGGTGCTACATTCCGGCGCGCTGTGATGGTGGATTTTGACAATGCAGCGCCCATGTCAGTAAACGTGGAGGCGCACTGCGTGGAGCGACCAAAGGCGGATGTGGTGGTGGAGTTCGAATGCAAGGCGAGAAGCTCTCTGACGAAAATGGTACCTATAGAGAATCTCACCGATGTGCCGTTGACAATACGACCTATCATTGATAATCGCCTCTGGACGGCACCGAAGCTGTTTCAGGTCAATCCTAGGACCACTGCGACGCTGCCCGTAACGTACACGCCGACGCTCGTGACAAAGGAGAAGGATTTGGGAAGCATCTTTATTCCGTTCCCCACTGGTGCTGCGCGCACGATTCAGCTAGAGGGTGTCGCGACGTACCCCACAGATGCCACCGCGCTGACGGAGAAAGTGGTCGAAGCCAATACACCGCACTTGGAGACGTTCGAGGTGCACAACACCACAGCGCAGCCGTTGCGCTTCTACGCCAGCGTGAATTGGGAGCCCGAGCCGGAGAAAGGTATGGTGACCGTCAAGACACCAGTAAGTCTAGATGTGCCGGGGAAGCAGACGCGCGAGTGCTCCGTCGCTGTCTGTTCACTGAAGGAGGGCGTCCTGCGCGGCACCGTGCAATTCCGCTGTACAGAGCGCGAGGACCACGCGCAGTCTTTTCCCATTGCGCTGCGTGTTGTGCCGAAAGCAGTGTCTTCCAAGACGGAGCTTGTCGCGACGGTGCGCAATGTCGCCATTCATCGCTTACCCATCACGAACCCGCTAGAGAAAAACGTCAACGTCACGACACGGGTGGAGAACGGCAGTGATGTCATATTTGTTGATTCCTCGCTCACAATTCCACGCAAGACTACCGCGGAGTTGTCGATCCGCTTCTTCCCGCTCGTGCACAAAGAGTACCCTATGGCGATTGTCACCGCTACGAGCGCGGAGCTTGGCACTACGACGTGCAAGCTTAACCTCAGATCGATGCCACCGGCTCCGGAGAAAGTCACGCGCATCTCGTGCCCACTTGGGCAGAGTCTCGTGTTTCCCCTCCAATTTGTGCACTACAGCAAGGCGAACTGCGACTTCACGGTGCGTGTGTTGTCGGACGCGAAGACCACACCCTTCACAAAAGCAGGGAATACCGCGAGTGTGAAGGTGCAGGGCACCATTCGACCAGAGGGACAAGACGTAGCTGTGGAGATTCAGTACGAACCGACAAGTGTGGGCGAGACGCGAGACTCAATCGAAGTATTCTCGCCACAGGCCGGTCTTTACGTATTCCCTATTGTGGCAGTGTGCCTGCCGCCACAGCGCCAGGGACCTTTTGTCCTTCGTGCAGGGCAATCGACGTTGGTTCCGTTCAAGAATGTTTTCCAGGAGCCTATCACGCTCGCCATTTCGACTGACTCGCCCAGCTTTGTGGTTGCGAGACCCACCGAGAGTGTGGCGGCGAAGAAGATGGTCAACATTCAGGTTCTGCTCAAGTTGGACGAAGATGTACAGACGGCGCAGACGGCGAAGCTCACTGCCACTGCCACAGTTCAAGGCGAGACGCTACAGTGGGTGTATTACCTGAAGCGCTGCACCGCGGATGGGCCATCCTTGCTCACATCGCCTGTCAGACGGAGGGATCGATGAGGGTTTTGATTGTGACGGTTCTGGTGGTGGCGATGCATTGAGATTTTGAATTCAGCGACGGGGGGAGAGGAGGAGGGACACACCTCCAGTCATGCATGTAAATAGTAAATGTTCAATATGCTGTTATTCCTACATTCACACAAACACACACACTGGGTGGAGAAGTATATATATAT